TAATAAAACTTTATTATATTAAATTTTTTAACTTTGATTCTCTGATTATAATATTATTTTTATTTGTCTTGTACTTTTTCAATATTTTATTATATACTAAATCTTAAATTACTAAAATTATCAATAATAAATTTAATATATTGCTATAGTTATTAATCAAACATATTACTAGATTTCTGTTTACTATCCTGAAGATCAATAGATAATCTTGCTTCATAGCTATAAAATAACTTAAATAGTAAATATTTAGTAGTATAATTTTGAATAAAGTAATAGACAAATAATGCTGAATCCAGAAAAGTATCCTATCTATTACTATAATTACTCATATATTTAGTCAAAGTATTTTTAGCAATAATATGATAAATAATAATGAATCCTTAAAGTATTTAGCATATAAAATTTCACATATTATTTATATACTTTTTTAAGAAACAAAATTCATAACTCTTCACTTTAATAGAGACAAAAGTCAAGAAATGTTATAAATCAATAATTTTAATAATAAAAAATAATTATAGACAGTTTTTTTATAATTATTAATTTAAAATTTTTAATGTTTCCTAGTGAGGAACATTTGAATTTTGTTTTTTCCTCCTTCTTTAGGAATCTATCTTTAATGGTAGATAATTAAACCAATATATCCAGTAGATGAATTATCAATTGCAATTATATTTTAATATTATTTTATCAAATAGTTGAATTGATTTTATTATTTTTAAATTAAATCAAATAATTTTCTGGCTTATTTTTATGATTTACATTCAAGTATTGAATAAGTTTACAATTCTTGACTTTAAGTTGATAAATGATATAAATATTAGATTCTTATTTCAAGTATAATTATATTAACAGATTGTTTTTAATCCTTTCTATTTCTTTTACAGAGGTTTATAGGTTAAAAGTGACTGTTGCATAACTTCAAGTTCTTAAATATACTGTAGATTATTAGTTTCTTATATTATCCAATAGTAACTGTTAATTTATCTATTTTTACCAATAGTTGTTCATTAAAGTTCCCCAAGAGTACACAGTAAATTTGATCCTTATCCAAAGTTTTCTCATATTTTAATTTCTTAATTGAATCATAAATTTCTTTTTCCTTTTTCTTATTCAAAGGTTTAATTTTAATAGACCTTCCCTTATTCTTAAATTTTGATTTTTCCTAATATATATCTCTAAATAAAAAAATTTAAGAAAAAACAATTTAAGAATAATTTACAAAAAATGATTAAAAAAAAACTAGTTATTTTGAATAAAAACATTAAATATTGTTAAAAAAAATATATAAAATTAAAGTTAATCAAAGTTAAGTCATATATTAATGTTATAAAAAATAATATAATAAATGAATCAATTAAAGTAATACTAAATTTTTTAGTAATTAGATAAAAAGATCTCAAGTGTGACAAGAACATTACAAAAGTAAAATAATAAATTATAATATTAAACAGTTTCATAAAACAATTTATAAAAAAATTTAATAATAAAATAATAATATATTATTGATTATAACCAAATTAAACCAAAGATAAATAGAATTCTCAATAGTAAATCCTTAGAATTATTCAAGAATATTATATAAAAAAGTTTAAAATTAAATATAAGTAAGATAAATTTTTTAAAAAATTATAGAAAAAAGGTTTATTTGATAAATTAATTAATAATAAATTATTTATGATAATTAAATTAATGATAAAAAGATCAGATTTAAGTAGTGTGTATAAGAGTAACAATTATTTAGTATTTAGAAATTAGGAAAAAATAATAAAATATGATATAGAATATCTAATTTATAAAAATATAATCAAGAAAAAATAATTAAAAGAAATAGAAATTATATGTTAAAAATTCTATATAGAAAAACAAAAATAGAAAAATAAAGTTCAAAAAAACTTTAATAGTTAATAAAGAGAAATTAAAAAAAATAAAAATATGAAGAATAAAGCTCATAAGAAAAATATTTAAAAGAAACTAAGATATAAATTGATTGAAAAGATTTATTAATAAAGGCCAAAAAATTAAAATATGAAGGAAAAAAGATTAAAACTATAATCCAAAAATAGATACTTTACTAACAATAAAAGATCTTGAACTATTTTATAAGAGAGGATTAAAACAAAAAATATAAATAAATAATAGTATAAAAAAGATTCAAAACTTTTTTTCAAAAGAACAAGATAAAGAAATTCATAGAGTTCTATATAACAAAAAAATAAAAAATAAAAAATATAAGAAATAAAAAAAAATAATTGAAAAAAAATGGTTAGGCAAAAATCTTATTAAAATAATAATGACAGAAATAAAAATAATATGAAATGGTTTAATTTAGCTTTAATAATATTATAATTAGTTTTCGTTAACCTTATCATTAGGAATCAAAGTACAAAATTATTTAAAAAATCTTCCGGCAAATAATTAATTACCTATCCACATTTTTATTTAAAGCTACTTTGGTTGTTAAAGCAATTTTTATTATCGAATTAAGGAAATTTCTTGTATCAGCATCAATTAATCCCAAATTCATTGTTAAAGTTTAAGTTACCATATTTCTGATTAACTAGCTTCCATATTCTGCAAAAAAAAGAATAGATTTATTCTCATTTTGTATATACTGTTCAATTAAAGTACGAGTTCGACAAAAATGTCAATATAATCGTGATATAGAGATCTAATCTTTTTTTAATAAAAGCGATACTATAAAACGAAACATGACAGGCGACGGATCGACAAATTGAAATTGCGCACACGTACAACCATATCGTGACGAGGAGGGTTGTGTGAGGATTGGTGATGGATTGTCGACAGGTTATTGTTGTCGAGGGTCTTTGTTAATTCAAGGATAAATGTGGAAACCGACGAAACGTTCCCTCCTTCTGGATCACCCTTAGAAAGGAATATTCATGTACGTGCCTTAGGTGGTTGTCTCAATTCTATAAAGAGGCGCATTCGCCTTTTTGATCGTGGATTCTTTCGATTGCCATAGCGGGTAAACTAATTTGACACAAGCCTCTAACTCAAAACGCAATTCACTCCTTAATCTTGATAACATGCGGTACAGATGAATTCCATAAACAATTTTAATTCTACCTCTCGTAAAGTGGCCGGGAAAGGTCTTTTCATGTCACAGGCTCGATTAAGAATTTATCCCCACCCAACTCACACTTATCACACAATTTTATCACCTTTTTCTTTTGGGCTGCTACAATGAGTTAACCTTATGAGATTGATGCATCTGCTTTGGGATTTCTCGCATTTAAAAGTTTTGATGTTCATACGTATGTGCATACGTACCGGGCAAAAGTACCTGGATTGTGTTACACATACACACACGACAAAACACAAAACCATGTTTACATGGATCACCTGTTCTTTATTTAGAAAAATAGATCGAAGAGAACGCAGTCTACCAAAAGATTCGAGATTTTCAAATCTGATTGGTTATTCGTGTGGGTGAAAAGAAAAGGTGGGTGGGTGCGCGGGCGCGGGCGCGGATAACAAGCGTGAAGATAATTTCTTTAAATTCACTCAATCATTGGACATCGTCACCCGATGGGTATATAATAAATCGTATGTACAGTGCACACCCGTTATCTTTGCAATCTGTGTTCCATGGTGTGTGAATGTTATCTGATATGGTATCGTGATAATGCGTAATAGATGGCATAATGGTCCCACGTGGACTGGAAGAATCCGGTAAACTTCTATGTCACACCAAGCTTATCTTTGTGTTAACGTTGCTTCTTTCGGGTGTCAAAAGGTGGGGGGGGACATGTCTCTGAATGATTGCGTGATGTTATACGTAAACGGGGTATACACATCGACCACATATTACTGTAAAATGCATAATAGACGTATTGTACTTAAAACCGTTTGACGTATTGTTCGAGAATGATGACCTGCATGACCAACAACTTTCACCCACGGTGGTTGCGTGAGTTTTGAATGTGCCTATGATATTCGCAGTTCTGACCGTTTGTCCAAAGGGGAAGAGGGAATATCATGGGAGGAGTGGAAAATGAGAATATTGAAGGAAAAGATCGAGAGATATCCACCAGATGTATGCAAGCAAATCGTGTGACACATAGCATAACACGCCTTTTTTTTTTTTTTTTTTTTTTTTTTTTTAGTTAAAAATTGTCGAATTAGTTATGCACGAAACATCAAACGATGATTGGTTCCCTCGATGCCAAAACCAGATCAGTTTGAGGCTTTGTAAAAAATCTTTGTGTAGTAAGAATTTTTGGGGTTAATGGGAATAATCATTATGTGTTTACTAATAAAACTTTCTGCGTAAGGATCACAAGTGGACGGCAAAAAGAGGTCATTGTACGAATGACTTGTCGAGAAGAAGTGTGCGTAGATGATGGATAAACTTGATGAAATCCTAGATTTTATTTTAATACTATCCTCGAAATTAATTATAGAGCCAACGACAACTGTCGTAAATTTCCCATTGTAAAAAGGATCCGAAGAAAAAAAACGGGTTTCTTGCATCACCTCATTCGCGGTGTGCGAATTTACAATGTACATTTCAGGATCCGTTATACAAGATGCAGGCCAGATTTGTGAAAAGGGAAATTCCAGCTAGACAGTGCGCTAGTACATACAGTACGTAAGGTCGAATGAAAACGCGTATAACGAAATAATATTAACATCATTTCATCATCGTGATTATATCGGAATTAAACATTACGACATGTTCTTAACGGTCGAATTAGATAATAGATATTGATCAGCAGGGTGAAAAATTCTGTAATACCTTATTATAATAAGAGTGACGAGGTACAGTGCGTACGCATGTGTGACAAGAATAATTTAACGATTGCCATTTTACTCCTCAGCATGGATGCCGTGTGGCGATTATATAAGACGTTAGGTACTTGTGTATTATTAAATGGCGTAAATCAGAGCATGACCAGGGTGTTCCGGGCCTATGCGTTTTGGGAAGGCGTTATTTTATGCGATGTGATAATTGCGCGGGACTCATCTTTTCTAAATCACAAATTTTCGAATTCTCCTGCTGGCGCGGGAGTCCTCCCTCACGGACCCCAAGAAATTTCAAGAATTCCACGAGTGACAACAAAGTATGTTGTAATCAACAAATAATTAATATGCCTCTCTTATAATTTCTTTTAATTCAATGATTTCGCGCTCTCGCCGTTGAATGAGATTAATTAATGTTGTTTAATAAATGGTGGTGGGCTGATGAAAAAAAAAAAATGATTGTTCACGTAACGTCGATATTGTCTTTAACCGCTGCAGAAACATTGTCTCATAAATCACTGAGGGGATCACGCCTTCGGGGGGATTAAATATTTGTGATTGCATAAATAAATGACATAATTCTAATGGTGATAAAAAATAAAAGGGTTCCACTTAAAATTCCGTGTAACCGTCACACACGTAAAAATGTTAAAATTTCTGTTTGGGTAGGGGGAGGGGGACATCCATGTGGTGTTCACCAGTGATCGCACAGAAAAAAAATAAAAGACTTCTTTTTGTTGTTGTATATAGCTCAGTGTCATTTTTTTGTAAAGTGTTTCTTTGTTCTCGTTGTGTTCATTAAAAAAGTCGTGCAGTCATGGTATTACCTTTCCGCGTAATTTAACTTTACCTGATGAACGGTGCTAAGATTCGTGCAACCTGTATTCGAGATTTTCAATTTTGTATGAATATGCATATGCGTATAGATTGATTTATCATGTAGTCTTCAGATGTTACACGATGACCATGTCAATTTCCTGCGACTCTTAATTTTCTCTCTCTCCATCCATCCAGCTAACATTTCCCTCCCTCCTTCTCTCTTCTTTCTCTTTTCTCTCTCTCTCTCTCTCTCTCTCTCTCCCTCTCTCTCTCTCTCTCTCTCTCTCTCTCTCTCTCCCCCTCTCCCATCTCCACATCATCGAACCATACCGTATCATATTATACAGTATATTAATAATAGTTTGATAAATCCAACGTTATACGATATGATGCTAATTATTTATCACCTCATAATTCCAAAAATAGTATAGCGAATCACATACACAAATCACCCTATACATTTCCAGGCGGAAACAACGAGATTACACAGGAACTTTATGTATTTAACGGTGCCCCGCCCAAATTTTTATATTGTACTACCCTTTATATAAAACAATATAAAAAAATAAAATTTTTTTACCTTATATATAAACACCGCTTTCTTTGTCCAAAAAAAAAAAAAAAAAAAAAAAAAAAATTTCGAAATTCCTTCCGTGTAGAGTTTTTTTTTTTTTTTTTTTGAAGCTATCAAGACTTGTACATAATATATATATATACACGCACACATATATATATATACATACATAGCGTACCAAAATAATAGAAGGTTCAACTTTCGGTGCGCACCTTACACAACACATACAGTTGATAATTTTGGCATTCGTTGTTCTTTTATATTACCCCAGAAAGACAGGAAAAGGAAAGACAACGAAAGGATACGCATACATTTATACACTTGAGAAAACAAATATAAACCCAAACGAATTTTGAAGCCGTGTACTTGCACAACCGCTCAGCTCAAACACCGAGGACAGCAAATTTATCCACCCACTAACGTTTACAATGCTCGTCCCTAGACACAACACAATTTCGTCTGACGAACTCATTACTTGTGAGCGGGTAAGTTGCACACCAAGTTCTTCTCCATTTCTTTTCCAATTCTGCTCTAACCATCACCCTTACTCCTCCCAGACGATGCTCAAATTCCTAGATGGCAAGTTAAGGGCTAATACTGGAATGACTTTCAAAGTATGGGATTGGTCGATACCAGAATTGTATGGCGTCATTTTGGGAATGATAGTTAAAATTGACCTTGCTGGTACTCTTAACATTGGGAAATCTGAAATCTTAGACTTCATAATTGATGTTGAGAAGGGTTACCGAGACACTTCTTATCATTCCTTTTACCACGCTGTCGATGTCGTTGCCGTATTATATTACATGCTCACCGACTTGGGTGCTGCGAAATACCTAACCCCGTTAGATGCCATTTGTCTACTCATTGCGGGCTTATGCCACGACATTGGTCACGTAAGTTAAAGTCAACCATGCCATTCGTCTTCTGTCACAAACTTCAACCATGAATTTTAACACCTATTTTCTTTTTTAAAAAATTAATTCAGCCTGGGTTGAACAATGTGTATCAAGTTAACGCACGAACGGAGCTCGCCGTTCGATATAACGATCAATCGGTACTAGAGAATTATTCTTGCACCCTTACCATGGAACTTATAACAAAACATAAACTTTTCCGCAATGTAAACACTTGCAGTAGCGAATATTTAAACTGTGATTCCAAAGATGTTGACACTACACTACGAAATTTGATCACCAAAACCATATTAGCCACAGACATGTCGTTTCATTTCGACATATTAGAATCTCTGCATAACATGATCGAAGCCACCGCCTTTTGTTCTTCTGATGAATCAGGCGAAGAGATGGATAATAGTTGTACCACTTCCTCGGCTTCTTCAACCTCCTCTTCCCCCGTTTCCTCCTCACCCATCTCTTCATCCCCAATTTCTTCCTCTCCCCTCTCTTCTTCACCGAAATCAACAACCGAATCACCTTTGACCTCTTCGACGGCTCCAAAAAAATTTCTCATCAAGACGAACAATGGTAATCATCTCCAAATCAGATTACCGAGACCATCTTCCATAATAGTCACCTTGGATTCTGAACAACGTGAACTTTTATTGAAAGTACTGATTCACGCTGCGGACCTTAGTAACACCGTCCGTCCCTGGGATATTTCAAAACGTTGGTCTGACCTTGTGGTGGACGAATTCTTTCACCAAGGTGACCTCGAAAAAGCAAACAATCTTCCAGTGTCTCCAAACATGGACAGGGAGCAGGCCCATCAGTGTCAGATTAGCCTTGGTTTTGGTGACTTTGTGGTTAAACCCTATTTTGAAGCTTTCGCATCTTTCTTACATCCGGCTTCCATATTCCTGGACATTCTGGCCGAGAATCGTGTCCTCTGGTATAACATGAAAAACGCTCCGCCGCAACAAATTTCGAAGACCCATTTTTCTTCTACCTCTCCTCCTGCGTCACCCCTTATCGCTGCTCCAAAGGAACAACAACAACGTCGTGTCAGTTTGGCGGCTGGACTCTTGATAATCCCAGATGATATTCAAGAAAAATTACGGTTGATGTCCTCACCACGTTCTCCAAGGTTGCAACGCAAATTAAAGCGTAGCTTGTCGGGTCGATCTTATAGTCACCACTCGTTATTGACCACTCACCATGGAACCTTGGCACCGGACGATGACGAGGATGATTATGGTGATGAAGAGCATCGAAAACCCACGCGTCGAAAATCGGAGAGTCCGAATGCCAATGAAAATTCGTCTATGAAGACAACTAATAACACATCGACCGACGCGCATTCATCATCGCATCGTTACAATAAGAGAACGAGTAATCAGCAACAAAGAAGATTAGGTGGTCGCGTGAGACGCAGTAGCTCGTTGGATCACAATATGATTCGACAGATCACCGCCTTATACGGCACCGGTGACGCTCCACCACCACCACCACCACCATCATCCACCATCACTGCTACCACCATCACTACCACCACCACCACCACCACTTCCTCCTCCTCCTCAACCCCACCTGAACAAAGGGTCGTTGTAGCTGGAAGTTAAGACGCCCTCATCACGCATTTGCATTGTTCATATCTACATACACAATTTTATATATAAATCATATTCATATATATACATACATATATTATGCATTCTTTTCAACTCGTGTTTATAAAAATCACCAATATCGCTCCTACCCCAAAAAACTATACATAGACGACTTTTTTCTGGCAAAAAAAAAAAAAAAGTAATTTCCTTGACTCTACGTTATCATAGAATTTTAATAAAAATAATATAGAATTTAATTCCTTTTTCTTTTTATATATACCTAAAATTTTTTATTTTTTTATTTTTTTGATAACTTTAAATTCGCTGATCATTGAATTGTATCTTTTTTCTTTTCTTCTTCCTGTATATAATTGTTATTTACCTTTTCCTCGAAAATCTTGGAAAGGTGTTGATACATAAAAATTTTTAATAAAAAAAAAATCTTGTACTCGATTTGTTTTTTAAAGAAATCTGATGCTCACAAATTTCGAATTCCTATAATGTAAAAAATATAAATCATTAATGATGTATATTTATAGCAATTTTAGGTGCCAACTTACCCGAGTGCTTCATGTTAAACAAAATACACAAAACTCGATATAAAGACGGAAGGTAGTTTATACCTGATATGATGAGCTTAATGGTAAAATCTTATTATTGAACCCGGGGTCGATCAGATACTGCATATTGTATGTAGAAATTCTTTGAACCTTTTCTTTAAAAGAATTGGCTGAATAATTAGACATGATTTATTTTAGCAATGTGCAAATTTTGACCACCTAACTGAGAATTGAAAAAGGGAATATGAACCAAAGATGGACACTTGGTATAAAGGACTTTTAATACCAATATCTCAAGGAGAACTTTATCAAATTCTTCAGTTACTTTCAAACAACAAAACCCTTAAAAAATCTCAAATTTGTTATGAAATATTGTGTAGCAATATGAATTAAAATATACAGTATATGCTGTATATATACCGTATAGATTATTTGTTCTTTATTGATAACTTTAAAAACAATTTTTGCTAAGAATTCTTTATTCAATTACTTTTTTTTTTTTTTTTGCCCTCTATCAGCTAGTTACGTATACTTTATTAAACATTTGTAAGCTGTATATACAGTATAACATGAGATACTAAAGCTAATTCTTTAACTAACTCACTTATCTTGATTGTTTTACCTTTCTAAGTGCAACTTTGGAAATAATTTATTGCTCCATTAAGAGTTCAGATAAATACTCTTTTAACTTCTAACATCATTACTTACAAATCATTACTGCAGATCACTCTTTTGAGTTCTGACAGAGATTAAAACTCAACCATTTCATCCCATACTTTATCCCTTCTCTCAGAACCTGTTTAAGCAACATACAGTATTTTCTAATTCTTCTTCCTTTAATAATACTTGATATGATCGATTTTCTGGTACCTTGATCCTGTTTCTTTATCTCTATAGATATGTCAACCTTTTGATCTTGTCACCTCTGTTAATTTTCAATATCCGTTCCCACTCTATCACCTTTTCACATCTAACATTTCAAATTTTTTTTCTAAAGTGATTATGTGTTTTCTTCTGTATCTTCCTTATCCACTTTCTTGCTTCTTTACCAATTCTCTTTCCATAGCATTTCAAGTCTGCTATCTTATTCATTAGATCTTTTTCAATTAGTCATATGCAGAAGCTAAGTATATCCTAATCAGTATTTGATATTCTTTTTACCAGTTGAGCTATTTTCTTATTCATTTCTTCTCTTTTCATTTTGTCATTAACTATCAGACTTATCTTTTTTTCTTCTGACTCCTTTTTCCTATTTGCCAGGAGTTTGTTGAAACCTTGCATCATATTCTCTATATCCTTCTACCAGATTTCTTGTCACTAAGTTTTATATACTGGACATTCTAACAAGTATTCTATTGTCTCTTCCTGCTATTCACATGTGAGACATTTTACTTGCTTGTATAAGTCTGGTCTTTTTGTGAATAGCTCATTACTGATTGTCTTAACAAGAAAGCTTTTTTTTTATGATCCTCTGAAGAAGGTATTCCATATGTGCCCATTATTTATTTGTTTCCAAACTAGGTCCCATGTGTGCCTGTGCTGGTTTTGGATTTGATGACCCCATTTTTTATCTATTCTATTTTGAATTGTCCATTGATACATTATTATTTTGGCATTGATTTTTTTAACAAACTGTCTTATTGAAGCATCCAGCACCATATCTTGCCATTTGATTTTGATAATAATCTTAGATAAGTCCAGATCTTGTCATTCTATTGTTGGAAACTTTAATGTCTCTTTGGCTAAAATGTCTGCTTCCTCATTATATTAAATGTTGAAATGTGTTTTAACCTTAATAAGATTTAGATCTAATCCTTTTTCTTTACCAGGCTCAATATTCATACCCACAAAAATAAATTTTGTTTATTTAGCTATCTTTTGTGGGTTTTTTGGGGATCCTCTTTTTCTATAGTTTTCCATTTGAAGATGTAGGCTTGACTATCAATGTGGATCTTGACCTTGCTATTAACTGGTACTACTAAAAGTATAATGACTATCACTACTAGTTTTGCTCTTATAAATAAAGGCCAATCAGCTACCCCTGTTTGAAACTTGTTTTCTCTTCCTGTTTCTCCAATTTGTATCTATGCTATATTCATCTTCATATTTTTATTTCCATGATCAACAAGAGATTCATCAAAGTAAAAGATCATTGTGTTATTGCTATTATCTCCCTTGTTACACCTGAGTATTTCAATCAGATGGATTTGATATACACCTTCTTTAATATTCTCTTTAATGAGCTTCTCTTTTCAGTTCCTGATCACTAATTCTTCCAGTTGCCTTCTACCATATTGTATAGTCATTGAGTCTATATGATTGTTCTACTTATTGATTCCTCTAGTACTACCTTGGAACAAAAAATTTCTAAAAGTTGAGTCCTCTTGTAGATTTCCTAGTATTAAGATAAAAAACCATATATGTTTGTTCTATATTTGATTCTACTATACATCAGTTTTCAGTCATGATCTCTTTTGGGTAGTCCTGGCATTGTATCAGGTTTGATCCTAAGTTTTCCTTGGAGCTGTTACATTTGAAATGATCTATTTTAATGTATCTTTTATTGTTACTTAGAATCAAATTTCCCCAAACAAGTTGTTGCTACTTATTATTGCTCTTGGTAACCATCCAAAGTTTTTGTCTTTTATCAAGGTTAAGATTGAGTACTGGATATTTTGGACTCCACTTTAACCAATCTTCTTTTCAAGTTCCTGTGAACTGTTCTAGCTTGTTTCTTCACATTTCCCTTGTTATTGATAAGTAACATTCTAGAATAGGTTTCTTACTTGTCTTCTGTAAGAGTTGAAGTATTTGCCAATTCAATACTTCTCTAGTTTCATAGTTGATAAGCTGATCCATATATATCAACTTATTGTGTTTGAATGATGGAATGGCTTTACTGTATTCTTTTATTATCAGATGATCTTTAATAGGACTATTTCTGATACTCCAATTAAAGACATCATTCCACTTCCAGCTATGAAAAGTTATCTTCATATCTTTGGTCAGTTTCAATACTTGTAATATAAAGTTGCCCTTCCCAGAAAATAGTTTAGTGAGTTACATATGAGTAGGTTGAAAGATTCTCAGTACTTAATTTGTGATTACTTTAACCTAATAATTGTTGTGATTTCGGCTGGTCCTAAGTCATTTAATCTATTGCACAATCCTATTATCTGACTTTCTTTTTGCAACATCCAAATACTCTTTAAATTGTAAATACTGGGATGATATATTATACTATTAGATATGGATTGACATAATATAGCCTTATTTTTGAATAGTTTTCTATATGCCATTGTCAGAACATTACACATTCATCAAGATAGTATACTATACTATATTCTGAATTTGATTCTAGATATTAAGACTCTGTTTAGAATATAAAGTACTTATTGTATTTATCAATTAACTTTTTGTTCTTTAGGGACTTGATAACCATGTTGATTTCTTTAAGAATCTGTTCTTTGAGCTCAATAGCAAATTTCTGGTTGCCTGTCCAGATCCTTAGGAATCTTGTCTATTCAACTCTATCCAATTTTCTAACTACTTCTCTATTAACCCCTGCTTGGATCTCTTCTGAATATTGATTGGAATTGTTATTAGTAATTAATACTAATTTGCTACTATTAATCTGTGAGCTATTTACCCTATAGAAGTTTCTTACTTCTTCCAGAATTTTTTTCATATCTTCTTTGGATCTTGCTATTCATGTTGTATTGTTTATAAATGTAATAGTTGCATACCTTGACTCTAGCTTTCTTTCAATATTTCCCTTTAACTCTGGATCCCAAGCCATTGACATTTTATAGCCTTTTTTTCATTATTCTAAATCTTGCACAATAAAGGATCATAGAATATCCTCCACATTAGTGGTGAAATAGTTTCCTCTTGATCAATCCCATCTTCTGTTGTGATTACTTCAGTTAGATCCTTCTTAAATATAATTTTAAATTCTTGATTTTAAAATAGATTCATTATAATTTGGATAAAGCCTTCTGATATCTTAATTCTATTCATT